CAACCAACTGGCCGCCAAACCAACTGGCCGACCAACTAACCAACCGACCAACCAATACAGCAACCTGCCAAACAACCAACCCACCAACCGAATGACTGGACTCCCAACCAACCAACCAACCTGCCGGCCACCCAAACAAATGAACAACCAACCAGTCAACCATCAACCTAAAACCAGAACAACCTGTATTGACAAGCTTCTTGAGCTTCCGTAAGAAACTCCATGGACAAACGAGGCACACAAATGATACAGTAGGGGCCCGACCACAATAAACCTTCCACAAGAAATCCAACCCTGAGACCCTAGGACGTCCATTGCTTTTTGGTGGGGGAAGTTGGCGATTTCCATATCAAAACAACCCAAGAAACCCAGGGCACCCTGGAGGCAAGCCAGTGTGTTTCTTGGCATGGGTCCCCACAGCAGGCCCCCCTGAACAGATCGAACGGCAGCCGCTCTCTCGTTGACCCAGCAAGGGAAGGGTCGAAGATTCGCGGCGATCGACGGTTTCTGCACTGCGGCAACGAGGAACCGAACGCAAACCCCGCAAGAAGACGACAGCACCACCTCCCTCTGCTCACGTCCTCGTCACTCGTCCTCCTTCCAGCTGCTCCCCGTCCAACCCCTGCCCTTCTCCTCCTCACGTCTCGCCAGTCACCATTCCTCCTCCTCCTCCTCCTCCTCCTCTTCCCACTCCCAAGCCCACCATCATCAGCATAGAAGCTGAATCACATCCAGAGTCACCAGCATCACCCCCCACACACACACACACACACACACACACAAGCATTATCACCATCATCAAACCAGCATCATCACCATCCTCATCCTCATCCTCCTCCTGATCCTCATCCACATCCACATCCACACCCACATCATCATCATCATCATCATCATCATCATCATCATCAGCAGCATCAGCATCAGCATCAGCATCAGCATCAACATCATCATCAACATCATCATGATGCTGATCCGTTTCATCACCACCATCGTCGACATCATCATAACCATCATCAGCATCTGCATCATCACCACCTTCACCATCAACAACAACCGCGTCATCATCATCGTCGTCATCATCTTCAGCCTCGTCGTCGGCGTCGCAACCATCATCAGCACCACCATCATCACCACGACTATAAGAGCCACCATGACCATCGCCACCATCAGCATTACCATCACCATCAGCATCATCAGCATCATCAGCATCAGCGCCAGAATCATCAACGTCATCAGCATCAGCATCGTCGTCATCATCATCATTACCATCACCATCACCATCATTATCATCATCGTCGCCAGCATCATGATCATCATCGGGATCATCATCACCATCGGCACCATCACCATCACAACCATCAGCATCATCATCACCATCGTCATCGCCATCATCATCACCATCACGATCACCATAATCATCATCAGCAGCACCACCACCATCATTATCACCATCACCATCATCAGCATCAGCACCACCACCACCATCATCACCATCATCACCTTTATCCTTCACCATTTAGGCTCAAGCTGCCACTTCCCCTCACGGTTTCCCTGAAGCCCCTTCCCCCCTCGCGAGGGCGCGGATTTGCTGGCGTCTTCAAGGGTTCGGAGACGACGGACCCTGTCGAGGCCGAGCTGGCCACGAGGTCCAGTGCCACGACTCCCGTCATGTGGAGCCACATCTGAGGAGAGCACATTCATCTACATCTGCACCATCTGCATCTTCATCTTCATGATTCAACGTTCCTCCGTGTGTTTCCATTTCCTCACTCCTCATCATCATCGTCACTCCTCCTCATCATAATCAGCATCATCCTCGCACTCACGCCACAACACGGATTTCGAACTGCTGGGTAGCACGGCATTCGCGGGACAGGAGCAGCACTGCACGGCGTTCACAGTGTTGCTGGGGAGGCAGAAGGAGCATTGTACGAAACATGGCTTGCCAAACGTCGGCAAACCACGGCCAGGTGTAGCGGAGAATCCTCCAACTTCGGACAAAGGAGAAGTGGCCAGCGTTCGCAGAGCCTCAAGCTTCTCACGAGCCCCAAAGACCCCTCCAAAAGTATCCCAGCAGCCTCCGAAAAGCTTTCAAATAGCCGCCCAAAATCCTCCCGATAGCCTCCTCAGATCAACCTGAAAACCCCCCAAGAGCCCCCGAGGGTCTCCCACGAGCTACCGCGGGAGCGTCCCAGGATCTTCTCAGGAGCCTCCGAATAACTTCCCAGGAGCCCCGAAAGCGCCTCCTAGGAGGCCCGAAAGCCTCCCGAGAGCCTCAGAAGAACCTCCAAAGAGTATTGCGAGAGCGTCCCACGAGGAAAGGCAATCTTCTGAGAACCTCCCGGGAGCCTCCTAAAAGCCTCGCAAGACAGAAGTCTCTCAGGGGCCTCCCAAAGAGGCGCTCAAGATGCCCCAGGGCCGTCCAGGGGGCCTCCCAAGGGTGCCTCTCGAGCTGCATCCCCCTGGCGTCCGCAGGGTCGCGACCCCAGGCAGCTTCCGACGGCCACGGGGGGAGGCCGCGACGGGCCACCGACGTTTGGGGGGGGGCGGGGCGCCGACTCGCCGGGCGCTGGAGAAGAAACTACAGGCAAGCCCTGCGGAGAACAGAGGTCTGCGGCTGAGCTGGCCGTGGGGCACACCAACAAAGAGGCACGAATCCCAGGATTCCCCCCGATGCCCTCATAGTTGCTGGGCTTCCGTCTTCCCGCCCCACACTTCCCAGATGTTCCCATACTTTCCTGGGATCGGCGATTCATTGTGTCTGTGTGTGTTTGACCCCTCATGACCGACGTCGCGTTTCTCCGCAGCGCGGATCCCCAGAGGCGTGGCACCTTGCCCCCGAGCCGTTCTTTCATCCCGAACCAGCTGTTGACGGTCACGGGGGCCAGCGAGGGCCCCTCGGGGACCGGAAAGGACCAAAAACCTCCCGCCACGAGACGAGGTGAGGAAGAAGCGTCATGGAAGTCGTCGGCCCTCGCTTGTGGGGGTGGGAAAGGGGTACGGACGAAAATGGGCACGATGCCCGGCAGCGAACCTCGTCAAAAACCGACAGCGGCCGCTGGTGGGCAAGCGACCGAAGCCTCAAACGGACAACGCCTGCGACGACGCCGGCAGCGACGCCTTTTTTCATAAGGAGCCGAAACATGTAACCGACGCTTTTCCCGGCCTCGCACTGGAACTCGCACAGGAAAGCGGAGCCTGGTGCATGCGGGATCCTGGCGTATACAAGTTTGCTTGCTTCCTTTGGAAAGCGAAAAACAAAACGTATACACCACAGCATCCCGACGTCGTCCCCGACCCTCAACAATTTCTGGGATTGCCCGCCACTGGTAATGCATATGCTCTAATTTCCGATATACTAAGCAGGAAACGAGACGCTGTTGGTCTTCGTACCCATTGTTTCCACACGGCAGGTTCACGTCGTGTCGACCCTGGTTTTGCTTCCTGACGCAGCGAAACTCGTTCAACCTTGAACGATCGGCCGCTTCCACCGCAACGGAGTATCGTTCAGGATCGACCGACCCTTGGCGCGTGACCGGGACCAGGGACGTAGAACCAAGAGGGACTATTGACCCGAGGTTCTGCGACGGCTGTTCTTCCATACTGTCTGGTCCGAAGTGTGCAACGGCAACTTCGGCGGGAGATCCTGTCTAGCTGTGCAGCGACGACGGCGGCGTCCGAACGCAGGCAGCAGCAGCCGCCGGCAAATGTTTTCGCCAGCGCAATCGAAGCAAAAAGTGCGTTCACTGGTCTCTCTGCGTTAGGATGCCCCAGAAACTTGTGCCTTGAGCCAAACAGTACACAGTAGAGGGGCTAAAATCTGTACCGCACTGCTCAGCGCAACGCTGCTCTTCTAGGCACTTTGGCAGGCTGAACTGCAGAAGAAAATATATAAGTATACAAATCTATGGGGAGATTGGCCCCCGAAGGCCGCGGGAAGCGCAGTTCCCGTCTATCGCCAACAGTCTGCACTTTTTGCACGTCGGGCGGCATCCCCCGCAGCGGGGAGCGTCTCTTGCAGCTGCGGGGTCCGTCGCACCTGCAGGGATCATGCAGAGCGGGTCCCCTTCTCAAAGGGTCGTGTTTCGAGCGCCCCAGGGGCAACCTCCTGCATCGGCCCATCATTAATCATACTTTACAACATGCAATGACGGAAACATGCCCAGTGCTAATGAGGAAGCACAGTCTCGTGCCCAATGCGTGCGGAGGGAAAGCGACAAAAGAGGGTGGGAGCAAAATGTGGGGGGCTCTGGGAAGACAGGGGCGCGACAGGCCCTTAGGAGGTGCGTCGGATTACACTCATTACTCACAGTGGAACGCAGTGCTGTATTACACTTTGCATATAGCAGAAAATAAGACAACCCGATCAGATGTGACATCGGTGCCGTCGGAAGGGTTCCGTCCCGACGCGGCGGCCTACCGAACGGCTTCCGCCCGACGGCCACCAGCTGCACCAGCGTGGTTCGCATGTAAAGATCTGATCCAAGGCGTGCTCACAGGCTCGGTCGCCGGCGGCGTTCAACGTTGAACGCCAGAGGCGGGGTCCCCGCCTGTCGACACGACCGGAACCCACCGTACCCATTTCAATCGTACCGATCCCGCTTCGATCGTGCCAGTCGGCCGTGCCCCTTCCGATCGTACCGACCCGATTAGGAATCGCACCTCTCGCCCATGTCGATCGTCGGGAGCGGCCAAGAGGGGGGTGTCCAAGAGGGGGGGATGCAAATCATGACCGGCGGTATGTGAACGGCCCAGCGGGGGGGCCAGGGACGTAATGAAATAAGAAGAGGCGCCATGAAATCTGAGGAAAAATCATTGCCCGCGCCATGAAATCCACCCACCCCCTTAGTCCTCACCCCCTCTTTTCCGCTCCCGAGATCGTACCGATCGATCCTCGATCGGCCCCCGCGGGGGCGAGGACCTGGCCGGGCGGAGCCGGCAGCGCGGGCCGGTGTGAAGCGGGGTGGTGTGGGCGGCGCGGGACGGGGAGGCCCGCGCGCCCGCAGGTGCTGGGACACCCACTCGTGGCGCTGCAGCTCTCTCCGGTCGGCGACCTCGGCGGCGCCGCCCCCGACGGAGGCGCAGAATTACCAGCCTCGAACGTATCCCTATGCCTAAGATTGACACGCCAAAAGGCGATGACAATCTTAGGGATTCGCCTTCAAAAAATAAGAGAATCCCTAAGATTGGCATCGTGATGAGGAGGTGCCCAGCATAGGGATAGGGAGATGTTCCAGGCTGGTAAGCAGAAGGACACACCGTCAACCGGTATAATAGCAGGAAAGCCACCCCCCAAAAAATAAGCACCCCGACCAGCGAGGCCGTGTAGTGAACCCACCCAGGGAAGGAACCGAAGAGAGCAGGGCTGGTTGGTAAGCACAAAGGGCCGTTGAGCAAACGCCAATTGTCGGGGTCTGTGTGGTTTTCCCTCCCTACTCGCAAAACAGCTACTCGCAATTGCCCCGGGTCCGCCGCGGAGGGTTCACGATTCATCATATCGAGGCGAGAGCGAATTTTTCGAACAATGGCGAGTAGGCACTTTGCGAGTCGTGGAGCGCGCTCGGTGACATAGGGATGCGCGATAAGGATGAAGGGCATTGGACGGCCATGTCGACACTTTGCGAGCGGGGAGCGGCCAGTGAAAGCAGCTAAGGATAGACCGAGGAATCCAGGATGCAAGGGTAATTACTCCGGGAAGTTGTCCATTCTTACCATATGCAGGTTGGCTGTACAATCAACCCGTACAGGAAGGATGCGCGGTAAGGATGCAAGGGCCTTGGAAGGCCATGTCGACACTTTGCGAGCGGGGCAAGTTGCCCATCCTTGCTATGCGGGCCGACTGCACTGGCACGATGCGTTGACGCTCGAAGCCCACGTCCGCCTCGAACAGATACGTACACGAGTCTTGTAGCATATGGCTCCCCGAACGGCATGTCCGTAGAGTGCCCGCAACGGCGCTCGTGCTATGAGACTGCTGAGCGCGCGCGTCGCCTCATGCCAGAAATGTGTTCGGATGGCACCGGCCCGGCGGCGTCGGCAGAGACGGCTCCCCTCCTCGCTCCTCACCCCTCGCTGCTGCTCATCGCCTCGCAAGACAAACATGTACAAACATAGACTTTCGGAGGCCCGCGCGGATCTCCTGGGCCGGCGCTGGACTCCAGGCGCGCTCCTCGCGCCAGGGAGGGGGACCCTTGCAGATCCAGAACATCCACGCGGACCTCCTTACCAGTATGTTGATGCTGACCTTTCTTCTTGAATCCTCACATTCTGGAGCACAAAAGAACCACCCTCAGAATGAGCATCCCAACAACCGAAACCCTCTAGCAACCGCACCCGAGGAGATCGTCAATAGAGGCGTCCTAGATAGAGTCGGAGTAGATGGGGTCGGAGGATCTCGCCGCATCGCTGATACATCGGCGATACATCGCCGATGCATCGGCGATGCATCGGTGATGCACTGGTGATGCATCGTCGACGTCGCCGTGGAAAATCAGGCTCCGCATCGAGCCGCATCGCTGATGCATCGGCGATGCGGCGCGATCCTCCGACCCCATCTGCTCGGACCCATCTAGGAGGCCTAGAGTCAAGCCGGACAGGGCCGTGCAGTGGACGCCCAGGGCTGTCTAGTCGCCAGTCAGGGGCGCAGGGGTGGCTTTCCCCACTCGACAAGATGGGGATGTTTGATCTAGATAAGATAGCTTCCAACCCGCCTCGATCGCACACCCTGCATACCGGCCACCAGGGTTAGGTCGGGGATGCCCTCCTACATGCGGATTTTATCCCAGGGACTGGCGAGGGCCCCCGGAGGCCAAACATTGAGAAAAATATTCCGGTTTGGTTTGTTCATGAGCCGAGGGGTTCCGGGGGGTCTCGGCGGGGGGGTCCCGAGGCCAACAGGGCCCACCAGGGCCCCCATGAGGGCTCGCGAGCGTCGTAGTCTTCGTCGTCGTCGTCTTTGTCGTCTTTGTCGTCGTCGTCGTCCCCCCTTAGGGTCAGCGGCAACGGCCAGAAGGCCTTCGCAACAGAGACAACTCTCCCGTCATGATTTCTCCTGACCCGAAGGGGTCTGGGGTGGGGATCGCTCGAAGCAAACATGCAACTCTCATTGGAACTCCCCCTTCCTGGAGAGGAATGCCAGGGCCTACAGTCAAAAACCCCAATAAGGACGCGCGGTAAGGACGCAAGACCCTTGGAAGCCGAAGCGGGGATTTCTGGCGCGGCGGACGACGAAAACCTCAAGGACGCAAGAGCAAGGACGCAAGGGTACCCTGAGCAAAGTCGCGCGTCCCCATTAGCGTTTTTGACTGTCTGCTCCTTTCTGAGCCCCGCCCCCCCCCTAGGACGCAAGGGTACCCCGAGCAAAGTCGCGCGTCCTTTTTAGAGTTCTTGACTGTGTGCTCCTCTCTGAGCCCCGCCCCCCTCCCCTCCGCGCTGCCCGCGCGCGCCGTGGGGGGGGGGGGCGGGCCCTGCCGATCTGCATGACGGGCATGATCACGCCCTGGGGCAGGTAGAGCTTCTGCACGCCTGCTGGGGCGCTCGACCGGATCACGAAAACCGCGACGGATGAGGAGGAGGAGGAGGAGGAGGAGGAGGAGGAGGAGGAGGAGGAGGAGGAGGAGGAGGAGGAGGGGGAGATTCCCCCAGATCACGAAAACCGCGACGGACTGAGTTGTTATTTTTCCATCCTCCGGGGGGCCCTCGCCGAGGCCCAGGACCGTCAAAGAACGACAGCTGGATGAGCATCCGGACCCCTTCCCAGACCTCTGAGCGTCGACACCGTGGAAAGGGGATGAAGGGGATATAGGGCTGAAGGGGGATGATGGGGGGAAAGGGGGGGAGGAGGGAGGAAGAGGGAATGATGGACAAGGGGCGGGGGGGAGGGTGGAGGGCGGAGGACGAGGAGGGAGGAATGGAACGGACCCTTCAAGGCAGCAGAGACAAGACAAGCCAGCATCGAAGTGCAGCGGGATGAGATCCGAACCCCACAAGCAGGGGGTGTTGGTAGCCTCGCGCTCTCCTACGCCGACATGCACTCATCTCACACGCGGCGAGGGCGAGGAAGGAGGATGAGGAGGAGGAGGAGGAGGAGGAGGAGGAGGAGGAGGAGGAGGAGGAGGAGGAGGGCGGGTCAGAAGCGAGGGGGGACGGGGGAGAATCAAGGAGGGCTCTCGCGAGGACGAGGAGGAGGCCAACATCGAGGCGCGGCCGTGGCAGCCAGGGCCGCACTCGTGCAGGGTTGCGCTCAGACGCGGGATGACCCTGAGATCCTGGCGTGTTTCGACTTCGGCCACTTCGACTCGATGTGCAGCGGCGGCGTCGGCGTTGAGAACATCGGGCTCCACACCGAGCCGCATCGCCGATGCATCGGCGATGCGGCGCGCTCGTTCTCGGGAGCGGCCAAGAGGGGGGTGTCCAAGAGGGGGGGGTGCAAATCATGACCGGCGGCGGCACGTGCGCGGCCCAGCGGGGGGGCCAGGGACGTAATGAAATAAGAAGGGGCGCCATGAAATCTCGGGAAGTATCATGGCCCCCGCCATGATATCCACACACACCCTAGTCCTCACCCCCCTCTTTGCCGCCCCCGACCTTCGACTCCGTCAACTCGGACCCCATCTGGAGGCCGGCCACCCTGAGATCCAGTCGCTGCACCTTTTTTTCGCAACGGGCGCTTTCGCTCCGTTTCGGCCCCCAGGACCTTCACGGACCGATGCGGTTAGACAATCGGCGCGGAAGGACCGAGCTCCGCGGGGGCTCTGGCCGTGAGTTGTCGCGGCGTTGCGCCCTTGCTGCAGCGTCGGATCTCAGGGGCACGGTGCACCAAAGCCATGCCACGGTGAAGGTCTGGGGCCGCTCGGGGCTCTCGCGGGGCCGTTTGACAGCCCGGCGAGTCCGAAGAGTCTTCGAGAGAATCCGAGCAGCGCCTGCTTCCGTCAGTCTGTACCCCGTGGCGACGAAGAAAGAGAAAGGGGAGGATAAGCAAGCCGACGGCGGCGAACACGCAGGCGGGAGGCCAGGACCAGCGGGACGAAGCAGCACTGAGGGGAGACAGCAGGTGGGAAGCAGGGGATGGGAACACGAGGGAGAGGAGGAGGGACGGGAGACGGGAAGAGAGAGGGGAACTACCGCAGACAACCGGGCCCGAACAGGGGTTGGGAGAGAGGGGCCACCTGCGACGAAGCGACGGACTCCACGGTGGCGACGCCGACCAGGCGGCGCAGGCGGAGGCAGTGTTGGAGTGGGCGACGGTTATCGGGTTCGTCGGGGGGGGGTCGTCGAGGATGTGTTGTGGTCGTCTGGTGGTCCCCGGGTCGTCTGCGCGGAAGGGGTCGTCGGAGTAGTGGTGGAGGAGTAGTCGTCGAGGGTGGACCTGGGTGAGCTGCCGCGTTGTGGCGCAGTCGTCATGGACCCTTCCGGAGGGCCTCCTCGCGCCTTGCCCTGCTTTCGTCGCAGGCTGCCACTGCCGCTGGCGCCCGCCGACTGGGAGGCAAACCCCTCCGGATCCGCGAGAGATCACGACGGAGCGGGAGGAGGACGAAGACGGGGACGAAAATTGGGTGAAAGCGGAAGAGGACGAGGGGGAAGAAGAGGCTGGGGAAGTGGGCAAGAGGGGTAGAAGGAAGCGGGCGGAGGATGATGGACGAGGATGACGGGAAAGGACCAGACCTCCTCCACCGATTCCTCCTTCCTCCCACTTGCCCTTTCAGCAACGCAGCCTCCAGAACTACCCCCCCATGAGTCAGTGACAGCCCTCGAAGGCCTTCGAAAAGCTGTCCTGCAGATGTGGTTGGCGCTCTCCCAGGCGCTCCCCGCGTGCTCCGCCTCCTCCTGCTCCTCCTCATCCCTCGAAAGCCTCCTCCCACTGCTCCTGCTCGTGTTCCTGCTCCTGCTCCTCCTCCTCCTCCTCCTCCTCTACTCCTCCTCCTCCCCTGGACTCCGACCCCCTCCTCGACAACTTTCTCGTCCTTGTCGCCATCATCGTCCTGATGTCCAAATCTCCCCGTTCTCATCCATCCCTCTTCCCCCCATGTTCCGCCCCCTCCAGCCACGCGACCGCATGCCCGACTGAGCCTGACAGCTCCCACGAGAAGCGCGTGTTGGTCTTCAGCCAGGTGCCCTTCAACGAGACGAGCTTGCCCGGCTTCATCTGCAGCCGGAGGCGATGACGGGCAGCGAATAGTGCCATGCTAGGAAGCTGACATAATTGCGCCAGGAGACCCTAAAAAGCTTTACACAGTTTACGATGGTGGCCACGAGAGAGAGGGCAGGATGTCGGGGTTCGGGGTAGGGATAGGGGTACGAGTAGGGACAAGGCCAGGGAGATAGGGGTAGGGATGTAGGGCTGGGGTCAGGATACATGAGAAGGATACGACGGGATAGGGAAAGATGCAGAGGGAGAGGGATCCAGACAGTGATAAACACTGGCAGACAACAGGAGACACTGAGAGAAAATGGGAGACAGCGCGAGACAACGGGAGACAACGTCGCCTGACGAAGGTCCCATTTGGCCGCCCACAGACTACTTTTGAAAGGAAACTTAACATGGCGTCTTTGCTACAGGCAAGCCTTGTAGGGGCAAGGGATGCGGACTTAGACAAAACTGGACCGCAGGAAGGATGAGAAGAGAAGTCAGCAATCGCAAGGGGTTGGGAGTGGAGGGCAGGAGCCCGGTTCATCTTCCCTTCGCCCCTCCGCCTACTGATCGACCCCCGTTATGCATGCCCTTCTCCTCCTCCTGCCTTTGCTCCTCCGCATCCGCCTCCGCTTCCCATCCACCTCCCCATACAGACGCCCCTTCCCTGCCGTCTCCTCTTCCTCCTGCCAGTGCTGATGCGGTCTGTGCCGTGCGCGCGCTCTCCCTGTTGCATGTGTGATGTCATCTCTTCTCCCCCTTGTTCAGAAGTCCTCTCCGTTCACCTGATTGCTTCGTCCTCCAGCATTCCCTCCTCTTTTCACGTTTCCTAATCCTTCCCCCCCTTCTTCCTCAGCGTCCCCCATCTCCTCATTCTCCCTTGCCCTCCTCCTCCCCACCCTCATCAGTCTCCCTCGCCCTCCTCCTCCTCCTCCTCCTCTCCTCCTCCTCCTCCCTCCCCCTCTCCTCCTCCCCCTCCCCCTCCTCCTCCTCCTCCTCCTCCTCCTCCTCCTCCTCCTCCTCCTCCTCCTCCTCCTCCTCGCCGCCCTCATCCTGACAGCCCCTCCAGCAGCCCCTCGCCCTCCTCCTCGCCCCCCGCCCGCCCCCTCCCGCCGACTCGGCCGCGACGCCACGCGGGGGGGGGGGGGAGCGGGGGGCCGCCCCGGGCGCGGAGGGGGGGCGGCGGCCGCCTCCCAGTCTGGGCCGTACACGTATCGCATCTCGGTGTGCAGGGACTCCTGCCGGGGGGCGGGCGCGGGGGACAGCGAGAAGGCGGCCTCCACGACCGGCAGCCTCCCAGCGAGAGGCCTCCGCCCGGACAGAGAGAGAGCCTCCGAGGCCCACGCGGACCTCTTCGACCGGCGCCGGCCCCCTCGGCGGCGCCGCCAGCGCCGCCCACGGCACGCTCTGCGCGCCCGGGAGGGGGGGGGGACCAGCGCCGATCCAAAAAAATCCTCGCGGACCGCGGACCCGCGAGAGCTCGTGCTGATGCATGACCAGTCGTCTCGTCGCTATTGTTCCTTCGTCCTCCTTCTTGATCTGGCTCTTCTTCTTCCTCCTCATAATCTTGTCATTATTCGAAGTCTGCGGCTAAGAACACAGGCCGAAGACGGAACACGGCACGGAGACCGAGCACTCCGTATTGACTTACACCGTATGGACTTAGCCTCCCATCAGAAGAGGCTGAGTCTAGACTGGGTAAGCCCAGACAAAGCCCGAGCACTCCGTATGGACCTGCTCCGTATGGACTTAGCCTCTCATGACTGACACCGCGTCGATCATGCAGCCTTGAACGGTCGCTGCCTTCCGATGCTGCGGGTCGTTCAACGTCAGATGTTTCCTGGCCACCTGGCAACATTCAACGTTGAGTGCCCGTGCTGGGAAGGGCTCCTTTCCGGCAGCACTTGCTGCCCAAAATTTATCGCCCCCCCCATTACACGTCCTTCGAGTTCCCCCCTTGCAACATTAGCCGGGCGCCGCTGAAAACCCACGCCAGCGCCGCCTCGCTGAAGAGAAGACGCTCCCCCTCCGGATTTTGCGCGCCGGCAGGTGCGCCTGGACAATGGCGCCGCGAACACGGAGGTAGGCGGAGGGGGGAAGACTTCTTAGGATTACACGTTGGTCGGAAGAAGTAGGCGGAAACATGAAGCAGGAAGGCGTTGAAGTGGATTGGGCTTCCGCCCGCCCCCTGAAGAGGAGGGAAGAGGGATAACCACTCTACCCTTGAAGTAGGAAGGCGCCTACAGTCAAAAACCCTAATAAGGACGCGCGGTAAGGACGCAAGACCCTTGGAAGCCGAAGTTGGGATTTTGGGGGCGGCGGACGACGAGAACCTCGAGGACGCAGAGCAAGGAAGAGCAAGGACGCAAGGGTACCCTGAGCAAAGTCGCGCGTCCATATTAGGGTTTTTGACTGTCTTGAGATCTGGGACCACAGAAATACCGACTTTCAACGACCGACGGGAAGCACGGAGGAAACGGGTCCGGTGGAGAACGAGCCCCGGGCCCCGTGGCCTTCCCCCGGCACGAGGTCTCCCTCCTGTATCGTTCTGGGACGGTCCCGAGGCCCCTGGAGGGCCTCGGGCACCCCAAAGCCGGCGAGAACTCTCGGGGGACTCGTTTCCCTCGGGGCCCGCTCCCCCCATGGCGCGGGAGGCTTCTTAGAAGGGAGCTGCTTCTTAGAAGGCGCTGGCCATACGCCTACATGCGAGGCCCGCGCCTTCTACGTGGAGGCCAGGGGTGCTGCTGAGAAGACGTCCCTCCAACCCCTACCCCATAGCGTCCCCTGCGCGTGGCAGGCCTGGACCGTGGCGACGCTGATGGCCGATGGTCCAGGTCGCCCAACTTCGCGCATCGCGGTCCGCGGTGCTTGGGCGTCGCTTCACGGAGGGGCGATAAATTGGGGGAGAGAGAGGTGCACTTCTCGGGCCCACAAGGGTTCCTTTTCTGCAGAACCCGGCTGCCCCCCCCCCCAAAAAAAAAAACATGTACCGCCCCCCCAGCCTACAGTCGGGCTGCTGAAAGAAGGAACGATAAACAAGGAACGAAGCCCCTTTGGGGCCCCACAGGCGCCTGCGTGCACGAGGAAGGCTAGAGGATAAGCCATAGAAGGACCCAAGTGGTATCGAGCCCCTCTCCTACCCAAACTGTTCCTCATTTCAGCGACTTGGCTGTACGCGACGCTCGGGAGCGGCCAAGAGGGGGGTGTCCAAGAGGGGGGGGTGCAAATCATGACTGGCGGCATGTGCGCGCCCCAGCGGGGGGGCCAGGGACGTAATGAAAGAAGAAGGGGCGCCATGACATCTGGGGAAATATCATGTCCCCGGCCATGATATCCCCCCCCCTAGTCATCACCCCCCTCTTTTCCGCCCCCGAGACGCCCCAGGTGCGCGAACGGCGCGGCGCATGCCGGGCCCCCTGCGCTCTCGCGCCGTCCCTCCCCGGAGGGGGGCGGCCCACCACTCTCTGGGCCGCGGCTCGCGAGGCGCGGCGGGCGGCGCGCCCGCGGAGGGCGGCCCGAGCCCAGGCCCCCGACGTCCTGGGAGGGGGAGGGGGAGGAGGAGGAGGAGGAGGAGGAGGAGGAGGAGGAGGAGGAGGAGGAGGAGGAGGAGGAGAAGGAGGAGGAGGAGGAAGAGGAGGAGGAGGAGGAGGAGGAAGAGGAGGAGGAGCATGGCGCGGACCCCCCACGCCGTCTGTCGGCGGTTCAGAGATGGGGCCCTGAGGGAGGGGGGCCGAAGGGCAGGAGGGGAACCAAGGGTTGATTCACGCTGTGTGAGGTTTCTCGCCCTCGGGGCCCCATCCCTCAAGGTCCCATCTGTGAACCACCGAGTCTGGGCCCATGTCTCATGCTGAGCCATCCTGTTGGCAAAGGCCTGGTGGGGGGAGGCCAAACATGGCCAAGAACCTCCCGCCATGTTTTTGTTGTGCCACGACGCGATAAGGTCCTGGGACTTCGGTCGCACTGGAGGGCGGGACGCGCTGGACGATGTGCAGACGAGCGACTTCCGCTTGTCGCAGGGCAACTACACGCAACTGGCCTGGCTCCGACGCGGGGGGGTGACGATCCATTACATCGAGGCAACCATGTGTTTTTGCTCGGACGTTTGTGGGTAGGCACTTTGCGGGTTAGTAGTGCAACGCGCTAGGTGAATGAGGGGCGAATGAAAGAAGAAGAACCGCCATCAGCATAAATGTTGGGCGCTCCGCGCGGATTCCTTCGATCCGCGCTGGACCCCCGGCGCGCATCGAAGAAACCCACGCGGAGAGCCGGAAGCTCAGGTTCATGGCGGTATTTCTTATTATTGTCCTTCTTCTTCTTCGAGGAGGAGGAGGAACGAAGGAGGCCGGTGCTCCTCCAGGAGCTGCAGGTTCTCCCAGGCAGATTGCCACCTCCGCGGGCGCCGAGGGAGGGGGCAGAGGAGCGGAGCGGGCGCGGGCACGCGCCAGCATGGGGTTGGGGATTCGCGGGTGGTGGCGCGTGGGCGTCACATCCGCGGGTCGCGGTACAGTCGACCCGTATGATGAGGATGCGCGATAAGGATGCAAGGGACTTGGAAGGCCAGGTCGAAGCTGTTCGAGCGGGGCGCGGGCAACGAAGGTGGCCAAGGATGGACCGAGGAGGCAAGGATGCAAGGGCACCCTTGGGAATATTGCCCGTCTCTACCATTCGATTAGACTGTAGGCACACCCCGAAGCAGGAGGCCAGTGCCGCCTCGGTTGGCGACAGAATGCGTCGATGTTGCATGGAAGCAGGGCCCGTCGCGTGTCCACGCGCCTGGACCTGTGTTTGCGTCGCCTCGTCAGAGAGGGAGGCGCAGGGACTCGGGGGGCAACTTTTGAATGTCGCCCTCGCCATCAAGCAATGCAACCGTATCGACCCGAAGTTGCCCCTCGTGCTCCCTACGTCTGAAACTAGCTTGGCACTGTTTGACGGCGAAGTCCCCCTCGCTCTGAGAATAAGCCCCTGACTAACACTCACACATCGGTGTGAAATGGCAGGGACCAGAAAGGGGATAAAGAGGACGGATGAGGGAGCGTAAACTCTACATCGGTATCAGCGCTTGCCAGGCCAGGGCGTGTGTTGGTGCATAGGCTGGCAGACCCCGAGGGAGGAAGCAGGATGGAGGACAGAACCAAGGTGAGGGAAGACGTACGCCCTCCCAAAGACCAGGTGTGACATCGCAAGGCGGCCCAAAAAAGTAGGAAACGGACGTCTTTCAGCCCCCCCGCCTCCGCTAGCACACGTCTCCTCCGCCCCAATCCTCGCTCGTTCCCCTTGTTTTCCCCTCCGTCCGCCCTCTAAGCCCCTCCCCTGCGACCCCGCCCTGCGGAGGGATCGAACTCCTTTCAAACTCCCCCCTCCTCCTCCACTCTCGCTCCTCCCCACCTCTCCCTCCGCCCGTACCCGCCCTGGGGAGCGGCCGACATCTTGCACGGAGGGGCAAACGCAGCATCAATGACACGCCGCCGCGGGCAACCCATCGGCGAGTTGCCACCGAAAAAAGCAAACCAGGCCGTCGGACGACGCCGATGGAGGAACGCGCCGACGGGCGCTCAACGGGGTTGCCCTGCAAACCCCGGGCCCCCAACGGCGGCGTGTCGTGGGAGGAAGAGGAGGAGGAGGAGGAGGAGGAGGAGGAGGAGGAGGAGGAGGAGGAGGAGGAGGAGGAGGAGGAGGAGGAGGAGGCACCCCGCTCCAGCAACTCGAGGGCGGTAGCAGGCGCGAGCCCTCGAGCCCACCTGGGCCGCCTAGAAGGTGGCATGGCCCCCACCCCCACGAGCACCTTGGGGCGCGCGCGCTGCTCCGGCGGCCGAATGTGAGGATGGGCAAGCCACTGCTGGAGCCAGAGTGTCACCGCGTCACGCGGCATCTCGACTCCCGGGCCCTGGCCTGGCGCCTTCGCCGACAACAGCGACGCGATGCGTGCCCCCTTGCCCTCAACGCTGCGCGGCGCGGCAAGGCCCCGCCGACGCTGCTGCAGCCTCCGCCCATGCGCACCGTGAACAGCCTACCCGCGCAACCCCGCCGCCCGGGCGCCGAGGCGCCCAAGCTCGCATGTCGCCGGGTATCGTCTGGGCGCCCTGGCGAAGCGGGTGACCTTCTCATGGGACTTCTTCTGCTTGAGCCCCCGCTGGGCCCTCGCTCTCCTCGCCGCGCGCCCCCCGCCCCCCCCGGGCCGATGCCCGGGGGGCCCGCCTGCAGCTGCGCCTGCGCCGCGTAGCCGCGCCTCTTCATGCGACGAACGATCTCCTTCGCATCGCCATGGTGAGATCGCACAACGCACGACTTCGAAGCAATATGAAGCTTCACCTTCTTCAGCGCATCTGCAGCATCGACTACGCGGCTAAACAATCGGCTAATGTCGCAACGACGCACTGCCTGGAACCGGCTACGCTTTGCAATATCCCCAATCGATGTGGAACCCGCTGATGTGAACCGCTGACCTTGGCCATGCCATACTGAGTCGTTCACTTCGCAAAACGGGTTCCAACCCTGAGACCCTGGATACGGCTGCAAGTCGCCAACAAGGGTTCACCAACAGTTGCGATGTGTTCGACAGTGCGCGGGGCCATGCATTGGGGCTAATCCAAAAATAAGACTATCGGCGGGAATCCAAGTTTCAAAGCAACATGAATCATTATACCCCGTTCAATACTGTCATAAAACCCTTTCGCATTCATCAATCCGTGCCCATGGAAAGCCCCTATAAAGCACCTGCCACTTCCTCCTGCGGCGTCCGATGGAGCGCCTCCCTGAGAGAAGCATTCCCTGCGATGGCAGCGCCCCACTCAGACTCCACAAGATTGCACCACTGCCTGACCGACTCCTTCCCGATGGGCGACCACAGCCGCCCCAGGGAGAACGCCAGCCCGATCGAGCAATCGCCGCTCAGCTTCGCCGGCGTGAGCTTGCCGATGGTGAGCCGCGTCTGGCGCGGCCGTGCCACCGTTCGTTCGACCGAGTTGAGTAGCTCGGCCGCTCCACGTCGATCGGCGTCACCCGATCAGCGCCCAGGCCAGCGTTGGCCTTGATGGCGCGAGCCGCTCGCCGAATGTCCCACTCGGCGATGGGCTCGGGATGCCACCCACTTGCGGCTATCGTAGATAACACCGCCATTTTCAACATTGGCACCGCACCCCTTTTATACCACGCCCCTCTTTGCGACCTCCAGGCCCTCCGTCGCCGCCGCGGCGGTTGCGAACTTGGCCGCAAACAGCCTGGCCGCCTCCGCCTGGACCTCGGCCTCGACTGCCACCTGCTCCTTGGCTGTGCGCTCCTCATCTGCTGCAGCGCCGGCCTCCGCAATGCCCTCAACGCCGTCGGAGTCACTCCCGCCTCCGGCTGGCGGCGCGTGCGGCTCGGCCGCTGCGGCTTGGGCGCCGCCGTCGTGGGGCCTCCGCTTCTCGACCGTCCTCTGGCCGATGGCGTCGCGCACCCTGGCGGCCTCGGCTAGCCACTCACTCCTTCACCTCGGACGACTTGGAGGTGGAGGCCTTCTGCGTGGTGGTGAGCTGCTCGTGGATGGTGCGCAGTTCCTTCTTCTCGGACTCCTCCACCTCCAAGCCCTCGACGTCCTGGAAAATGGACGTGTCCCGAGTTAGATCGAAGAGCTGTTCGGACTTCTTGTCGTTCGCAGGAGTGGCCTCGGGCGCCGCTACAACCCCCATCGGCCCACGCGAGCGACTGGGCCGCGCCCTTGCGCGCGATCTCGGCCTTGGCAAGGATGGCAGCCGCCGCAGCCTCCTTGGCCTCGGCCACTGACAGAGCGGAACGCAGCCTCCGCACGTTGGCCACGGCCTGGTCTTGCTTGCGGTTGGCGTCGCGCCAGGCGGGGTCCGCCTTGGTCGGCGCCGCTGCTGCCGAAGGTGGTGTCGACGGCGCCTGGGTCGTCGGAAGAGACTCCACCCTTAGCTTGAGGAACTTCTTAGGATCCTCATCCTTGGTAATCTTCAGCGCCTCCATGAGATGATCGCGAACATAATCTGGCTGCGTCCACGGCCGCGAGCTGGTGTTCTTGGCTGTGCCCAACGGCTCGCCACCCAAGCCAGCGAAAGTGACCCGACGTTCACGCCTTTCCCTGGAAGCCGAACGCGATGGCGGTTTATTGCCGCCTAGATGTTGACCTCGTGGGCACAATGCACGCATGTGTTGTCCATATTGCTGAGGATTTCGTTTCATTCGAACTCCTTGCAGTTCTCCGGGACCGGATCCCCGACACATGCGGCCAATGCCTCCTTAGTTGGCGACAACGCGCGCCGATTTCGAATGGAAGCGGGACCCGTCGCCAATCCACGCGCCTCAGTCTATGTCAGCGCTCCCTCCCTCCCTCCCTCCCCGGATTCGCGGGTGCTGGGCGCGCGCGCGGTGCTGGGCCAGGCCGCCCTCTGGGACCTCCCCCCCCCCCCCCTCCCTCCCCGGATTCGCGGGGCGGCGGTGGCTCGCCGCCTCAGCGGCGGCGGCTCCGCGGCGCGCGGGCCGAGGCCCGCCGGGGGCGCCCGCAGGGCCTCACGCGGGGCGGGGCGCCCAGCTCGTCCTGGCCGTCTCCCTCCTCCTTCCCCTGGTTGTACTCGTCTTCGCGCTCGTACCCTTTAGTGTGTGTAGGAGATGTGTACTTGTGTTGGTGATTGTGATTGCGATTGCGATTGCGATTGCGATTGTGATTGTTTCTGTGTGTGTGCGTGCGTGCGTGCGTGCGTGCGTACGTGCGTGCATACGTGTCTGTGTGTGTTGTGCTCCTGATCTTTCTCTGCCTCCGCCTCAACCTACAACTCCACCTACTCCTGCTCCTTCGCTCTGCGCCGTTCTAGCTTCAGCCTGGTGAGTCTAAGCATATCATCCTCTTCCTCTTCCTCGTCCTCCTCCTCCTGCCACTGCTGCTGCACGTATCTCCACCCTCCCCTCCTCTTCTTCCTCCTCCTCCTCCTCCTCCTCCTCCTCCTCCTCCCCCTTCTCCCCCTTCGCCTTCTCCTCGAGCGTAGCCGAGGGCGCGCCTACCGGTTCGTCACCGCCCGGCGCCAGCCATGGCGGCTGGGCGAGCAGCCTGGTTCTTCACTGTGGACAGGACAGAGCGGCAGGCATGCTCAGAGAGGGGTGGGTCGGGGAGGGTCCGAAGGGCGTGGTGAAGATAAAATGAAGGGGCCCCAGGACACGCAAATAAATACACACAAATAAAACATATGCCCCATATTTTTCCATATTTTCTGGGTTTCTGTCTTCCCCCCCACTTCCCATATGTTCCTATATTTTCTGAGGAATCGAAGATTAATTGTGTCTGTATGTTTTTTCCTCTCCTGATAAAAAGCGCGCATCCAAAGGGCGTGGTGAAGCTAAAAAGCGCACACGCAACCTAACATCGAAGCTCGAGACGGGTTAAGCATGCCACAGCGTTGGATGCGGCAGGGAGGAGGAGGGTCCTGAACAATGAAGGAACATAAAAACGACAGATATGCGGGCAGCACCAAATATGCGCAAACCTGTGGGGACCCGCCACCCGAAAATGCAAGGGCTCCCTTCTTGAAGTCGAGTCGACGAGATCCAGCCTCCGCCGAGAGTGCGAATAACTGGCTAGAGGCAGGGAGGGAGGAGGGACTTCAGGGCAGACCAATCGACATCACGAATCACCCCTCCATGTCCTGGGAACCAGCGATTCAATCTTTTCTTGTAATTTTGGGGAGCTTATCTGAATCAACTTTGAACTGTAACCTACAGTACCTGAACTTCTGAGGACGTACAGCTCTAACGAGAAACTTAAGACGAGCATGAAGGGCGTCACGAGCAACTTGAATAGCATGATGGGCATGAGGGATAAATCAAAGAAGAGAGGGAAACCGTCGAAAACGATTGCGCGGATAACCGCCAGCGCAGGGGACTGCCGGAACCCGGGCCAAGGGCGATCTTGGACCGCTCGCGCCATCGGGAAGCCATCTACCTTCTCCTCCTCCACCTCCTCCTCCTCCCAACTCAGAAGGCGCAGCGCTCGGTGGTGATGAGGATGGCCTATCGGGCCTTTGTCGGCTCCAGCAGTGACGAGGCGACGCGGCGAGCATGAAGCGCTGCTCCATCAAGGCGTTTTCCCAGTCGTCCTCCCCCTCCTTTGAGCAAGGCGCATTTCCAGACATGTTTATATGCCCTGGCTTCGGCGTGGTGACGCGGTTAAGTGCCCTCAGATTCCTGGTGCAGGCGCTTCCTAATCCTCCTCCTCTTTCTCCTCTTCCTCCTCCTCCTCCTCCTCCTCCTCCTCCTCCTCTCAGCCTCGAAACCGCCGAGGTGACAAGGGCACAGAGCAGCGTGACTCAGAATGCCACCCGAACCAGCGAAAAATCACCGCTGCGCGAGAAAACGGCGTCATTCCTGGTGTTCCGCCTGCTTCGCCTCCTCCTCTTCCTCCTCCTTCTCCTCACGCTCCTCCTCCCCGTTCGCCCTCCTCGTCCCCGCTCTCCTCCTCGCCCCCGCTGCTCCTCCAGTGCTATCCCTCCTCGCCCTCCTCCTCGCCCTCCTCCTCGCCCTCCTCCTCGCCCTCCTCCTCCTCCTCCTCCTGCGCCTCCTACTCCCCCATTCTCCTCCTCCTCCTCCTCCTCCTCCTCCTCTCCTCCTCCTCCTTCTCCTCCTCCTCCTCGCTCTCCTCCTCCTCCACCTCCTCCTCCGCCTCCTCCTCCTCATGCTCACTCTCCTGCACCTCTTCGCTTTCCTCCTCCTCCTCCTCCTCGTCCTCCTCCTCCTCACCCTTCTCGCCCTCATCGCCCTCGCCGCCGTAGCCCTCGTCCTCTGCGCCCTCGCCGACGCCGCCCTCGTCGCCCGCACCGCCGGCGGCGCCTCCGCCTCCCCCAGCGCGCCGTCGAGGTCCGCCAGCGCCTGGGCCGCCGCCCGGTCGGCTCGGGCCCCGCTGGAGCAGCAAGCGCGCTCCACTGCTCGCAGAGTAACTGCAGAGCAGTTTTGAGACATAGGATTCTTAAACACATAGGGCTTTAATAAGTTATTACTTTCTGAATACATGTATGCATGAACGCATCGTTGTTTTTAATCCTAACGCCCTGCATGTTTAATACATGATCCGCACGCGGAGCATCAGCGAGGCGAACATGATTTTCTGTCGGACGTCTGCGAGTAGGCACTTTGCGAGCAGTGGAACGCGCTCGGCGATGGAGAAAAATCAGGAAACGCCGACTCGGACGAGCGGATCAGGGGTGCAGATCCTTGGGGGGCCCACGCTGTGACACAAAATGGATTGTCGCACCGGCTTGGCACCAAGCCGCGGCCGAGGTAACCGGGAGGCACTGCAGGGCCTACTTGGGCACAAGAGGAATGGGAAGGTCACCTAGGGCTCCCAACTTCGCGCTTCGCGCTGCGCGAAGCGCGAAGCGCGAATAACTTCGCGCTCTCGCGCCGCCCTCCCAAAGGGAGAATAGGAGGACGAGGAGGAGGGGGAGAAGGAACGAGGACCGCGAAGCGCGAATAACTTCGCGCCCTCGAGGGGCGAGGATGCCGCGGGCGACGGAGCACGCCCAGAGCATGAAGCTCTTGTCCGTGAGTGCCAGAACACAGGCCTGGCCGCTGCAACAAACACACCACGCCCGAGCAGTCGAGACGCCATCTGCACCGGATGCCAGGACCAAGGGGGGACGGGCACTGTAGCCCGGGGGGCAGGAGGAGGGTCGGGGAGCAAGAACAATATCAGTGACACGCCTGCGAGGCGGGGATATATCAATATCCACCGTCTGTGGAACCGACATCCTGGGACCCCCGCGGGCGGTCGATATGGATGTAGGTTGGTTGTCCCCAGGGGGGTCCGAAGAGATCCATATGCACCGCCTGCAGAGGTTGACGAAGAGTGCTTCCCCAGTCGGTGGTTATGTATAAATGCCTGCCTCGCATCGCCGCCGTGAGGGGCCCATCAACGAGATACCGTTGAAGCGACAGCGGGCTCGGACAAACACGGAGCACCACTCTGACCAACCCTCCACGGCGTGTCGTTGGGACTAATTTCCATTCCTGGGTGGGGGAGGGCTGGATTTGTCGGCACAGAATCGGGAAATCGGATCGAATCGGAAGTTGCGTCGGATCGGGCCGCATCGGTACTGAGTCGCAGTCGGACCAGATCGGCGGCGCCAGGATGCGCAACAGCGCCCATGCGAGCATCGGGCTGCGTCGGATCGCCAGGGCATCGGCACCGAGTCGGATCGGGCTGGCTGCAGCCCATATCGGATCGGGATCGAGGTGATTGGAATGTAACCTCCGCCCCGATCACCTCGATCAACATCGGTGTCACGCGAAAAGCTAAGAGCGAGTCTTAGTGTAGTTGAGGCTGAGTCTGAGGCTCCTGGCGCGAGCTTCGATGCTTTGGTGGTGAGTGCGCCTAGATGTAAGTGAATATGAGTACGAGTCAGTCTACATGTGTGTGTGTGTGTGAAACAGAGTATGAGTGACCTGAGTATGATTAACCTTGAGTATTAGAAGTGATGCGAATGAGATCGAGCTGGAAAAGCGACTCGGAGTGTGAGTGAGTCTGCATAAGATTGATCCCGAGCATGAGAAATCTGAATATCAGAAATCTGAGAGCGAGCGCATCTGAGAATGAGTGAGTCTGAATATGAGTGAGACTACACGTGAGTGAAGCAGAGAAGGATGGCCTGAGGGTGGGAGATTCCTGTGTGCATTCCTGTGTTCGTTCCGCGTGGTCTAAGCAATAACAAGAATCCCATCCACAGGAGATGGGGACAAACCTTCTCGAACCCAAACCTTCGAACCTGCCCCCTCGTCTTGCTGGCCAGAACCTTGGACATGCGACATGGGTACGGAAAAAATAGTCCAATGTCCAACAACACATCTTGCCCAAAACCAACAGTGGCCGCTGTTGGGCAGGCGTCTTTTCGTCTCGCGTGGACAACGCCCGCGGCGGCGCGGACGGCGAGCCCTGCCCAAAACGAACAGGAACTGCTGCCAGTCTTCTGCCCATCCCCTCCGTGCCCACTCCGATCGCCCCGAGACGTCGCTGTCCAGGGAGGGCGGGGCGCACGCGCCGGTCCCGGCGTGGCCGGCGCGGACCGAGCCCGCGCGCCTGCTGCGCCTCCAGCATCGTGCGCGACCGCTGCGCCGTCGACCCGCCCTGGCACGACCGCCGGAGTGCCCCCCCCCCCCCCACCCCACGCCGCCCCCATCGCGCGGCAACGTGGGACCCAATTCACACCGAGCTCACGTCGGATGACTTGCATCGGGCTCACGTCTCACGTTCGGCCTGCGTCAGGGCATCGCCGCGCGAACGCCGCCCCATCTCTCACGGGGTGGACGTGCGAAGCAGATACTACAACCAGCATTGCGCGCCGAGCGACGCCTCCAGGATTGTCCTCATAGCTGGGGCTGGCCTGGGAGACCGCGCCTCTGCTAGAGAACCCAGAAAAAAAACGTACGCGCCCAACCACGTACATAAACAAGGACCCCCAGTCCGCGAGACCAACCTCGTGGTACGAAGGTTCGCGCATTGCGCATTCCCGAAACCAACGTGGATTCACATACGTGTACGTCCTGCTTTCGCCCCTGCGCAGACAGCCGAAAGAACTGGAGCCTTGGAAGCGGCCAGGGGGTCTGAGCTGCTAGCGCCAACCCCTTACAAGCAGCACCTTGGCAATCTGGGGGCGCCCCTTAGAGAGCCGCTAGGAAACCGCACGCATGAACCTGGCGTGGCAGTGGCAGAGTCGCTGGACGCTGGCAGAATTGTGGTCGAATGCGAACCGCCTGCAGAACTCACCAGGCAAAACACCTCTGCCTTCTGCTCGCGTCACGGCTGGAACGCGCGCGCACTCCACCAATCTCCGATGACAGCACAATCCTCCTCCTCCTGCTCCTCATCCTCCTCCTCATCCTCCCCTTCCCTCCTCCTTTTTGCCCTCGTCCTCGGCCTCCTCCTCCTCCTCCTCATTCTCATTATCCTCCTCCTCCCTCCGTCCTCTTTGTCCATCTCACCGGTCTGCTGGGCGACCCCCACGTGATTGCAAGGACACACAAACGGCATGGGATACCTGAGAGGACAACATGAGAGCAAATATGCGGGGCGTCTCCTCAATGGCTCGAGCGCCGCCAGACAGTGCACCCTGGCAAGCGAGGCGTCAACGGACAAGGCATGAGAAATTAAGTTACCATAAAAAAGTGCTACCTGCCGCAACAATATCAACAACACCGAGACATCAGAAGGAACCATCGACTCGAGAACACATGTTGCCCCAGTAAAACACCCTAAACACAACAAAAAGGTGAAGAGGGGGCCGTTGTATGAGAACACGAGTCACGACCTTGTGTACCTCAGGTGTACTTCTTGAGCCAAAAATCGTTGCCGCCCAGAATGGTCCTGACACGGCCATGTGCACCTTGGTGCATGTCTTATGAAATCGTGGCCGTCCGGAAAGGTCGAGACATCATGTGCACTGTAGAGGATGTTCTACCAGGGGTCGTGAAGTCCAGAAACGTCGGCACATGTGCACCCTGTGCACGCTTTACAAAAAAGGGGGCGTGGCCGTCTGGGAGAGGTCGAGACACGGCCATGTGCACCACTAGTGTGTTTTTGACCATTGATCGTGGCCGTTTGCAAAAGTCGAGACATGGCTGCGTGCACCTTCTTATGTCGCTTACATAAGGTCGTGGCCGTCTAGAGAGGTCGAAACACGGCCATGTACACCTTTGTGCATGTGTTTCCAAAAACCGTGGCAACCCCGACCAAGAATGTCACCAGCATGGAGGCGAGTTGGTGGAACATATCAAGCGAAACAGCTGCCAGGCAAACTGCCGGACCGTGCGGTGAATCCCCCCTTGGGGACACTCCTCTGTCCCTTCTGTCCCGCATTGTATTGCAAGTCATGTCTTGCACGCGAAAATCCAGCAATACATTTGCATTTGCGCCCCGGAATGTATTGCACGCCCCAAGTGCATTGCACGCCCACAAACCTATTGCACCAAATCTATTGCACCACCCCCTTGTCGCTGGACCCCTTTTTGGGTCGACCCGAACATCTCTCGTCGACGACCGCTGTTGGTGGTGCAAGTTTCCCAGCGACCCTCGTCCTGCCCATCGCTCCTGAAGCTGTCAGTGAACGGTCTGGCATCCGCCGCCCCCCCACACCCCCAGCCGCTCTCAGGCTGCGCCTGGGGACCGCCGAGGGCACACACCGAGACAGCGCTGCTTCGATAGATCTGACGGTGTAACCCGCCCGCCTGCAAACCCGCCCAGACGCACGAAGACGGGACCCGCTGGGAGTTTCAAGATCCCACAACAAATTATGGATAACACTCCGCTCTGCGCCAAGATACGAGACCGCCGGTGAACTTCACAGACCCACTCCCTCAACGAGAAAATGCCATACCCTATGACTCCCTCAAGCGCAGACAGGAGTGAGCGGGTGCGCTTGGCCTGAAAACTTCGCACAAAGACACAAGCCAATTACAGGCGCTAACTGTGCAGCGTTCCTCCGCCCCCACGACCTCGCGGGCGGGGCATACTGGTTAGACGGCTGGACACCAGAAGCCAACCTGGACAACGAGAAGAGGAAGAACAATCTGATCACGAAGATACCGATGACTACCCGCCACGAACCAACAAACATAGATGCGAATTGAAATGGATTCACACGGGCGTAACACCCGCCGTTCCAATCATGCACAACGCCCGCGCTGTGCGGGGGTGCCCAAGGGGTACCCAGGGGGGCTGGGGCGACAATAGGAGTAGGGACGATAACGACAACTGAAAGACGAGGACGAGGAGCACATGAGCAGTGATGTCCCACCTGGAGCTGCGCAGAAGTAGACCTGCATGTGGCCGCAGTGGCCGCCAAGCAGCGCGCCTCGCCGAGAGGGGAGGCCAAAAGGAGAGGTAGGCTTGACACCAGACAGCCGCGCGGTACTCGCGGCGCGGAAATACTAAGGCTTCTCGCTTCAGGCGGGCAAGGATACGCAGCGGCGTGCCTCAGGCTCGCCTGTCTCAGAACAGATCTTAACCACAACCATCCCACAACGGGCAAGGCTCTGGTCGTCATCGTTAATGGCAAGGCATCCACAAGCCGACACATTGAGAAAGAAGGGAATCAGCGGAGTGGCGAATGGAAAACAAGCCCATACTAACGCATTTGGTGTATGTCCTCAGGACAGCTGCAAGGTCATCGTGCAAACCCGCATGACGGCTCTAAGAATGCGAGGCTGTCCTCCCACTCTCACCCCGCCGTGTGCTGGCCCGAAAACATGTCATGATGACTACCCGGGATCTCGCACGTGCGACAACCACATTGAGAGTCCACTGTGAACTTCCCCTGCTGAGAGCCAAGGACGCCGGGCACATCGCGCGAGCGCTATCGACCATATTAGCTTAAGAGGAGGTATGCATCCCATAGAAAATATCTTGGTTAGAAGTCTACCCCATAGGTAGGAAGGCTCCAAAGTAACAAATATAAGGTGGTCCTCACTGGAACTGGGCAGGGTTCCATAGGCAGGTTGAGGAGCTTCTGTACCCTAGAACCCCTTAGGACAAATCTTACCGAGAAGGGAGTTGATCTCATGGCTGCGATCCGCAGTGGCAAATATGATGATGCACTGATCGCTTGGTTTGTTTGCGCCGCCATGGCAAGTGAAAGGGAAATCAAAGTCAGCGCGCACTGCTAACATTACCCATTAAGTGATATGCGAGTGTCTAGTTCTTGTTGAAGACCAGATGCAGCTACCCTGAGACGCCGCATCGGCGAGTGGGACCGACATAGTTCTACTCAGTGGCCCTCGAAGCTCACCCTTTCGAAAGTGCGGGAATCCCACTGCTCATGGAAACCCTCCGAGGTCACAAGGCTCATGCGCCCCTGGGTTCTTAGAGGCCCAGACCCCCGATTTCCGGGGCGCTCCTGGGCGACACTAGACGCTGCCGGGATGTGGTGCATGGGCCTCTGGGATGGTGATCCCGCCCAACCGGGCCCCAGAACGGGCGATGAGGGGCCTCGAGAATCCCCCGCAGGGTCCAAGAGGCCTCCGAGACGGCCCAACGGCTTTCCCAGACGCCCACGATGGCCTCCAGACGTCACAGCGGTCCAAACAGTTCCCCAGGACGTCTCCAAAAATACACTCCCCAGACAAATGTTCGGAACAAGAATCGAAAACCACCAGTGTGTAAGCAATGCCCGCCCACAACGCGATGCGACCATGAGGTTGCAACGGTTGGACCGCCAACGTTCCCCGAACACAGTATGCGAACACCCGGGGAACACAATCCATGCCAAAGAGTAGAACGGATTGGTTTGCATTGAGTTCCCCGACAAGTTGCACAGCGATGTTGGAGCAACACGTAGCCCAAAACATCGTCGTAATCTTGCCCCACGTTTGGCAAACGATGAACAGGATTGCAGAGGCACTCGCATTTCGTCCAAGATGTCCCTGAGTCGGTCCAATTTGACTGTGGGATACCGTATGACTGCCCGAAGGCAACTCCAGGGAGTCCCAGGGATCCCGGATAGTTGCGAAAAGCCATCGGGCCGGCATTCCCGAAGCAGTTGCTTCCCGAAGCGCGTCTGACAGGCTTCGGGGAACAACTTCAATGCATAGTCCAATAGTGTGGCCAAACGGTGCCCAAACGTTCGGCCGCACAGGCGTCAGGGAGCGGCGGTGATTCGACGTAGGCGTCTTGGATACAAAATGCCTGAAGCTGAAGTGGCGCGCGGGCATGTCCATTGGTGAACACTTGAAGGTGAACACATGACAAAGAAGGGAAGGGGGTGGGAAAGAACGAGGATAAGAATGGGCGATCTAAAACAATATTGCAAAATTATCAACATGGGACCAAGAGAAGCCAGTCATTCTCATAACAGATCTTGATTAGAATCCCACCAGCCCTCTGGGCGTAGGTGGTTCCGGAAATTTCCTCTGCCACCCCTCCTTCTTCCCCTTGGGGAGGGGTTTACCCCTCCCCCTACCCCCCCCCCTGGACCTGGACGGGGGGGGGCGCTGGTAGTTGGAGCGTCCAAAACGGCCTCGGCGAGGAAGCCACAATCATCGGTTTTACTAAGGTTTTGGCCCCATTTTGGCCTCTTGGGGGGGTAGGGCTAATTAACTCCACCCTCTTCTTTGATCGATCGCTTCCAAGATGGCCCCAAAGGGCGCCCAGAAGGCCCCAAGAGGCCTTTTTTTTTGCTCCCCCAAGCCTACAGCGGATCCCGCCACGAGGCCCGTTCGCCGCAGACGGCGGCACGCCATGCCCTGTATGGCCTGGCACAGCTAGCCTGATTGGCCTGAATGGCCCGAAAGACCTGGCTCAGGCCTAAACCAGCATCACGTTCACCATGCTCACATAGTGGCATCGGCAGCTTCTGGAGCAGCTCCACAAGCCCCTCTCAGGCCTCCTCGAAGGCCCACTGCAGCGCCTCGAAGACGCTGCTCTCCCAGCTCAGCTTGACGCCGTACTGGACCCCGCAGCTGGGCGCAGAAGCCGTTGCCCTGCACCCCGTAGCCGCCGACCGCTGCCCCTCAGGCCTTCTCGAAGGCCACCTCGGTTGCGATCTGCACTGGCTGCCAGCACGCACGCTCCCCTCGCCTCGGCTTGCGGTCCACCGCGATCCGCGTGAGCCATTGGCGCCCCGCTCGCAGCTCTAGTGCCGTGGGAGGTGCTGGAGGAGGCTCGTCCTCATCTTGCTGCCAACCTGGCCTCCACAGGTTCCTCTCCTCCGCATGCTCTGCCGTCTGGGCCCCCGCGGTCTCCGCGACCTCCTCGAGCCCCCTCCTCGACGCCGTCGCACACCGTCTCGGGGCCCTGCTTGACCTCGGACTCGGTCTCGTCCTCGTCCTCCTGCGCTGCCCTGCGTCGCTCCGCCCGTCGGCGGCGCTTCGCCGCGCTCTTGGTCGTCACCACCTGGTAGTGCTCGTTGTCCTCGCCCATCACGTGCGGCAACGCGTGGTCAAGGAACTCGGTCTGCGGCTCCGCCTCGACGATCGCCTCGAAGACCGTGGGCCCCGCCCTTTCGCCCTCGTCGGCGCAATCCGCCGATCGGGCTGTGACGGGCCCATCCCCTTGAGCAGGTCCTGGAGGTGGAGGCTGCCCCGCGCCGCCGTAGCCCTCGGCCACCTTCTCCACCTGGCCCACCTGCTCCATGCCCTTCTCCACGGAGGAGTCCGACCCGTGGCCCTCGTGCTCGGTCTCGTCCTCCTGGCTGTACTGGTAGTCCTGCAGCTCCTCGGAATCGTCGCCCAGCGTGTCGCACCCCGTCTCAGAGCTCTGCTTGACCACCACCTTCTCGATCTGCTCCGCCCGCCACGCCCTCAGGCTGCGCAGCAGAGCCTCTGGCTGGTCCTCTTCGCCGGCGCCCGGGTGCCGGAGCAGTGCGCTAGCCGCGTCCAGCTCGCGGCAACGCTTCACCAGCGGCGTCGGGATACATACCTTGCCCTTGCGCATCTCCTGGAGGCCCGCCGCCAGCGTACGTCCTCCCACCAGGGCCACCATGTCTGCCGCAGCGCCGAGCAGCTGCTGCGCCCGCACGCCCAGGGCTGGGCGCGCCGCGGCGGGCACCCGCGCTGCCTGCGCCACATGCTCGGTGCTCCCCTCCTTCGCGCGCTCGGCCGAGGAGCCTTCCCCCCCCTGGAGGAGCCGCATGAGCTCCGCGGCCTCCTGCAGCGTCCCGACGGGCGTCAGGGACATGCCGTGGCGGACAGAGTAGCCCCGCCCGCCGCTGCCGCGCCCGCCGCCGATGCGCACCATGCGCCGCCTCGGATGCGCAACCCGAGGGCCGCGCGCTGCCCGCCAAGGGCCGACCCTCTCCCCGCGGGACGGCACACCTTGAGCCAAAAAATGGCTTGAGCCAAAATGGCTACGGAAGGAGGCCCCAAGAGGCCTCCAAGAGGCCTCCAAGAGGCCCCAAGAGGCCGCCATGAGGCCCCAAGAAGCCCTCAAGAGGCTCCAAGAGGCTCCCAGGATGGTTCCAAGAGGCCTCCAAGAGGCTCCAAGAGGCCGCCATGAAGCTCCAAGAGACCCCCAAGAGGCCCCAAGAGGCCTCCAACAGGCCCCCAAGAGCCCCCCAAGAGGATCCCAAGCGGCCTCAAGAGCCCCCCCCGAAGCACCCAAGACGCCCAAGAGCCCCCAATTGACCGCCAAGAGACCCCCAAGACGCCCGAAGAGGCTTCCAAAAGGCTTCCAAGAGGCATCCGAGCGGCATTCAACCATCCAGCCAGCGTCATCATTCTCCTCATCCCTCCTTCGCTCGGTTCCTCGCCACCCCCTCATCTATCCATCTGGCCTCCTGCTCCGCCTCATCCTTTGCACGGATCGGCTGTCCCTCTCGTTGCTCCCCCACTTCCCTGATCTCTTCAGCTTGCCTGGACATCGTTTCTGGATGGGCTGGTGGGGACACTTTTTTTAACAGCCGCAGGCGGAAGCGCCAGCGGCGGAAGGTCGCGAACGGGCCGCGGACCTGGTGGGGATACGCGAAGCGTCAAGACTTTTAATATTAGTCAGGAAGGTTCCGAAGTAGCAAATGAAAGTTGGTCCTCACTGGAACTGGCGAGGGTTCCTTAGGCGGGTTGAGGAACTTCTGTGCCCTATAACCCTAAGAACAGATCTTGGTGCAAAATAAGTTGATCCCAACGCTGCGCTCCGTCCAATTTCAAATATTATGATGCAATCATCTAAAATTGATGGCGCCGCCATTGTCAGCTAACGGAGAATCGAAGTCGACGCGCGCTGCTAACATAACACGGTAGGTGCTGTGCGAGTGTTCAGTAAGTGTGTGAGAGAGAGAGAGAGAGAGAAAGAGAGGATGAGGCTCTTAAAGATGTGCCATCGGCGAGCGGGACCATCACAGTTCGACCAGATGCCCAAAACGTG